TCCTTCTACCTTGACTTTCAACACTAAACTTCCTCTCTCGGTTTCCTCCTCAAGTGTCACCATGGCCAACGATTCTAGTGCGCGAAACGCTGTCCCAGGTCTACTAAAACCTCGCTCCAAACTACACATTGGAGCCTTCAACGTACGTACCCTATGCCAAATCGGTCAACAGGCCTCCTTAGCTAAAACTCTAGAATCTTGTACCATTGATGTATGCTGTGTCTCCGAAACACGCATACAGGATCCCAGTGTGGTCATTCACTTGACCTCACCTCGCCAAAATGGACAGCCGACGAAATACACCCTCCGTGTATCTGGCGACCCGTTGGCTAGTTCTCGCGGACTTGCAGGTGTAGGCATAGCACTAAGTACAAGGGCAGAACAGGCACTACTAGAATGGATCTCCGTTAACAGTCGCCTGTGTGCTGTCCGGCTAAATGGCTCCGTAAGAACTCGGAAGGATAGGGACACACGTCGTTGCCTTTTCGTCGTTTCTGCCTACGCTCCCACTGACTGCAGCCATGATGAAGTAAAAGATGACTTTTACAGAAAACTCTCTGAGCTTCTTCAGAAACCTAACCGCTCAGACATAGTAGTCGTAGCGGGTGACTTTAATGCCCAGGTAGGCAGCTTAAATCAAACAGAAAGACATTTAGGTGGGTGTTTTAGTATTCCGGCTCAACGAACCGATAATGGGGATCGTCTGTTGCAACTATGCTCAGACAATCGTTTATTTTTAGCAAGCACTAATTTTAAACATAAGGAGAGACATCGTCTAACATGGCGACCACCTGCACCAAACCAACGATGGACTCAAATAGACCATATTGTCATCAGTCATCGTTGGAGAGGCTCAATAGAAGATTGTCGCTCGTATTGGAATACTTGTTTAGACTCTGATCACGCTTTAATACGAGCGCGCATTTGTCTGCGCCTCAATGGACGCAGGAAAAGTACACTAAGAAGACCCATTAGGATTGAACTGGAGGACGAGAAAGCCAAATGCGAATTCCAGAAACAACTGGGTTCACATCTAGGCAGTTCTGTAAACGAGACTGACCCAGATGCTGCTTGGAAAGACACACGAACAGCTGTGGAAACAGCAGTAACATCTATTAGTCATTTATAACATAGGGCTCCAAAAAACCAGTGGATTTCCTCTAAGTCTATTTCACTGATGGATTCGCGTAAACTCATCCCATCAGGCTCTGAACATGACGAAGAGCGTAAAGAAATTAGATCTAGGTTAACTAAAAGTCTAAGGAACGATCGTGAGCAGTGGTGGGCAACGAAAGCAAAAGAGATGGAAAAGGCAGCGGCTGTAGGCAACTATTCAGACTAATAAAAGAAACCGGAATTAAGAAGTCAAGTGTAAGTGAGACAATCTCCGAAAAAGACGGAACCCTTATCTGCTCTCAACCCAAACGTTTAGAACGATGGGCGGAACACTTTAAGGAGCAGTTTAGCTGGCCTTCGGCTGCTGCACAACTACCCACTATTCCCAGAAAACCTGAATGGAACATTGAAGTAGGCCCCCCGACCCTACTTGAAGTTCAAAAGGCTATAGGTAATCTGAAACGAAGAAGAGCAGCTGATCCTGATGGATTGGCTCCAGAGGTTTTTAAATACGGTGGTCCAATTTTAGCGATTAGGTTGACTAATATTCTGGCTAAAATCTGGGAGACGGATGTAATCCCATCCGACTGGTCACAATCACTGATTGTCCCAATATATAAAAAGGGGTCAAAATCATCCTGCGACAACCATAGAGGGATTAGTCTGACTAACATAGCATCTAAAATACTAGCCTCAATAATTATCGGGCGCCTAACTAAGACTCGTGAACTGCAAACACGAGAAAATCAGGCTGGGTTCAGGCCTGGTCGTGGCTGTATCGACCACATATTCACCATTCGTCAAGTTTTAGAGCACAGACACGCTTATCGGCGTCCGACAATGATAGTTTTTCTTGACTTAAAAGCAGCATTTGACTCTGTAGACCGAGAGGTTCTGTGGCAGTGTCTGTCATTGAAAGGTGTACCTGAGAAGTACATAAACCTTTTGAAGGCTCTTTACTCGAACACTACCAGTCGAGTGAGAGCTTATGGCGAACTGTCATATGATTTTACAACCTCAAGTGGTGTACGTCAAGGCTGTCCACTTTCCCCATTTTTGTTTAACTTCATTATAGACCTGTTGCTGGAAATAACACTCTCTTCGACTGAATCTACAGGAATTGATCTCCTACCAGGGGGACCACTAAGCGACTTAGAATACGCAGATGACATAGTCCTGTTTGGTGAAGACGCTGGCAAAATGCAGAGTCTTCTGTTGGAACTGAGTAATAATGCCAAATGTAAATTGTTACTCCGGGAATGGCCTGCGTCAACACCCGAACTAAGGATAGAGAGTGAAGTAGTCGAACGCGTCGACAACTTCACTTATCTTGGAAGTCTGATCAGCTCTAATGGGTTGGTGTCTGACGAAATCTCAGCACGGATTCAAAAAGCTCGTTTGGTTTTTTCCAACTTACGTCACCTATGGCGAAGACGAGATATCCGTCTATCAATTAAGGGACGAGTATACTGCGCAGCAGTTCGCTCTGTTCTACTTTACGGTTGTGAAACATGGCCATTAAGAGTAGAAGATACTCGTAGGTTACTAGTATTTGACCACAGATGCCTTAGAAATATTGCTCGCATCTGCTGGGATAACCGGGTAAGTAATAGTGAGGTTAGACACAGGGTATTAGGGAACTATGGTAAATCAGTTGATGAATCTTCATCGACTGAGATGGTTGGGCCACGTGTTACGTATGCCTGAACACTGATTAACACGACGCGCAATGCTGACTAGTGTAGAGGATGGTTGGAAGAGAGTTAGGGGCGGCCAAACCAAAACATGGCATCAGTGTTTGAAGTCACTAACTTCTAGCCTGAGCCATGTTGGCAGATGCAGACTACCTGGTTGGGGTCCGCGTGACTATCGTAACCAATGGTTGGAGACTCTGTGTGACATGGCTCAGAATCGATCACAATGGCGTAGGTGTATACACTCTTTATCTTCCCTTAAACCTTGAGACTAAAATTGCTTCATATCTCCCTTCCTGTACTATATCCTTATATACAACCTATAATTTATATACTACTACCAACACTAAATTAACTACTATGAATCCGGTGTTCCTCTTGTTGTGCCAACGAGGTATGGCGACTTGGACCGATGCATATATGTGCCTGGTCCTACGTTGTAGCTGACTGACTGACCAAAATGTACAGTCGATAATCGCACTTACAGTTATCGAGACCAAACCCAGTTATAATTGTACAAAAGGTCCTAGTGGTTTGCCGAACTTCAACACAGTTGACCTTAGAAGCTTTATGGGGTTGATATACTTCTATGGCTCATAAACCTACATTTTCTATCATACAGCCGAGAGGGGGTATCAGGAAGTTATATCAGATTATTATTATTAATGGCTTTATTCAATATTATGATCTGGTACAATATAGAATTCTCAGCACGAGTTATTTCAACAAGTTTTTTACCCAAAAAAAACATCTAAGGTTTAAGAAAAACTGAGTTTATACAAATTATCAAATTTGAAACATGCTTAAGAATGCAGGTCATTTACTAGGTCAACTCTAACAGCCTGTTCGTCACAAAGTAAATTTGCTAAGTAAGGTATTACAGAACTTTTATAGACTTGCTTGCGTGTATGGATTTTAATGTATTTACATCTCGTTCTACCAGAAAATATACGAGGAGAAAGATATGAATGAAGCGGATGGTTAATATCTGATAAGATAACACCTGCCAAGAGTTTGCAAGACTTAAGTATCTATCGACGAGCATATTAAAAATGACTTCAAAAGATTCACCACATACCTTGCAAACCGCCTTCAGCACTCTACGCAAAACAGCAGTCTTCTCAAAAACCCAGGAAAGAATAATAGGTAATATGCAGGAATTTACAAATTGTAAGAGTAAATGGCGAATAATCCCAAAAGCATGCAACCTCTTTATGTAGTATGTCAAACGGTAAACTTTTTTCGATAAGAGTAAAACATGAGAAGACTAAGAGAGATCAGAGGAAAAAATGACACCAAGATATTTGACCTTCGACACTGTGTTTACTAAGGAGTCTCCAATGGCACAAGCATTATGGGATCCCAAAATAGAGTGTAGGTTCTGTCCATGTCTCAAGCTAAAATTAACAGCTTGACATTTAGATGGATTGAGTAAGAGACCATTACCAACAGACCACCTTTCAATACGAGATAAAAACTCATTCATTTCTATGGGATGTAAGGAGGTAGAAATCGGCATACATACAGTGAGGTCGTCCGCATATTTTACAAAAGTGTTTTCTGTGGAAGATGGCAGATCATGCAGAAAAAAGGAGAAGAGCAAAGGTGAAAGAATATCTCCTTGTGGCACACCTACATTAGACAGTAGAGATGTTGAACACTTTTGTTTGTATCAGGCTCTTTGTGGATGAAAACAAATCAACAGATCTGTGATATTGAGATTGTTCACCTACACTCACCATTAAGACTCATGTTTCTAATTTTTGTGCTGGATTAACTATTCTACTAAGACAACCTTTAGCATGCTAGCTCGGACTTTTCAATGAACACTGTGTGGCAGGCATCGGATGAGAAAAGAAAAAAACTGATTGTAAAGGATATGGTTGCTATTTTACTTAACACTACTCTCTATATGCACTCTCTGTTCTTCCTCATTCCAACCTTGACTTCCCTCCTTCATTGGAACCTACTCCATCTTGATAAATATCCCAACTCATTGTTCTTTATCACTGCCTTCTCTCTTCTGGAGCCCCTAATCGCAGTTCACTCTTGCAACATGAGCTACTATCAATTTAATCTAATAATTTATCATACCTCCATCTGTTCCACTAATAAATGTTAAGCATTGGTTGTCCTTCATATCCAAATGCCTTGCTGCTCCTCGGTTTCTCTTTTATTTTTTCTCTTCAGAATCTTGCTCTGAGGGTGAAGCTATGTAACTTCAGACATCTGGAACAAGCTTGACGAACGCGCTTTCCCAAGGTCATAGCTCGAACCAGGCGCTCCACAAGCCTACTTTATAACAACTATAAACTTAAAAAGCTGCATTACATAAATACTTAGAACTACCGAAACCCTATTACACTTTTTGTCGAGATTGGATCTGGTATATAACGTGGACGCTATGCCCCTTTGGAAACTATTCTTATGAAAACACATTATATCTGAACGAATGAACTGCTATCAACTTTTATAGATTATAATTACTAAACAAGCTTGCTTGGGATGCATACTGTGAACCAGTATATGTTGTAAATTGTAGATCATGCCTGTAAAAATGGCGTGTACCTGCTAATGCAGAAATATATTATTATTATTATTATTATTATTATTATTATTATTATTATTATTATTATTACAGTGTACTGTTCTCTTCCAGAAAGGTAGGAACATAGCCAATCGGTTATCCAGCTGTCAATGTGGACGCTGATTAGTTTGTTAAGTAAGAGGTGTCTTGGAATAGAATCATAAGCAGAAGTAAAGTCCAGGAAAGCGCATCTAACATACTTCTTACCCTTTTCCAACCCGAACACTATATTGTGATGCAGAACAGCAACGGCATCTAATGTGCTTCTTTTGCATTTGTAAGCAAACTGATATGGATCAAGGTGCTCTTTTATTGCAGGTTGAAGTGGTTGTATCAGTAATTTTTCCATTATTTTAAGGAAAGGTGAAGTTATTGCAATGGGTCTAAGTTTCGCATTTTTATCACCAGAAGCTTTCTTTGGTATAGGGATTATCTTTCTCCATATTTTCGGTAAGACATTAGTTGAGAAGGATCTGTTAAAGATATTCGTTAATGGATAACATAAAACATCAGCACATTTTTTAAAATGGAGGTTTGGGATACCATCAGGTCCTAAACATTGGGATGAATTAAGTGACTGGAGACATTTTCGGGCATCATTTTCAGTGAAACTGAGAACACAATTATCCTACAGACCCTTGGATATAGGGAGCATGATGTCAGATGACTGACGCATAAAGAAATTGTAGAACATCAACGTTGATGATCTATGTCAGATGATTGGGGGCCTACTATAGTTATACGAGAATGGTGACGAACCAACTAACGCTGAAGTCTCACCTCGCGACCAGCCCTTACGTGGATTGAACCATCGACGCATCAAAGGATCATGGACGCTATGGAGACTACAACATAAAAGACGTTATTACAAGAATATATTAGTTAAGGTACAACCACTTAAGTACAGAAGTGAAAGAACAACCACTGCCGCGTGGGTCAGTCCATGGCATATATTGACTGGTGCGCGTTGACTATCTCATGGACCCAGGATAATCAAAGCATCATTCAGAACAAAGAAGCAAGGGATCACAATGAACGTATTCCAGTGTTGTGCACCCACCAATGATAGCAACGACGATGATAAAGATCAGTTCTATGAAAGGCTGCAATCAATTATAGCAAAGTGCTCACGAAAGGACCTCACCATCCTTATGGGAGATCTAAATGCTAAAGTTGGAGTGGACAACACAGGATATGAAGATATAATTGGACGACATGGACTAGGAGAGAGAAATGAAAATGGGGAGAGACTTGCAAACCTATATGCTTTCAACAAATTGGTTATAGGCGGCACAACATTACCACACAAACGCGTACACAAAGCTACATGGATCTCACCGGACCACACCACAGAGAACCAGATTGATCACATCTGTATCAACAAAAAATTCCGAAGATCAATGGAAGATGTGAGAACCCGGAGAGGAGCTGACATAGCTTCAGATCACCACCTGGTTGTGGCCAAGATGAGACTGAAGCTAAAGAAAGACTGGACAACTGGACAAACAGCACTACAAAGGCTCAATACAGCCTTCCTTCGAGATACTGACAAGCTCCACGAATTCAAGATAACTCTCAACAACAGGTTCCAGGCTCTACAGGATCTACTGAAAGAACAAGAAACTACTTTGGAGGACAACTGGAAAGGGATAAAAGAAGCACTAACTTCAACTTGTCAGGAGGTTCATGGTCCTAAGAAGCACCATCACAAGGAATGGATCTCTATGGGAACCCTGGACAAAATTCAAGAAAGGAAGAACAAGAAATTAGCAATTAACAACAGCCGAACACGTGTAGAGAAAGTCAAAGCACAAGCGGATTACGGAGAAGCAAACAGGGAAGTGAAGAAAAGCGTTTAAGACGAAATACAGAAATACATGGGAGAAGTAGCAACGACGGCGGAAAAAGCTGCAAGAGAAGGGAATATGAGACGACTATATGATACAACGAAGAAATTAGCAGGGAGATATAGCGAACCAGAGAGACCAGTCAAGGACAAAAAAGGAAGGACAATCACTGAGATTCAAGAACAGAGGAAAAGATGGGCAGAATACTTCGAGGAACTGCTGAATAGACCAGCCCCATTGAATCCACCGAACATCGAAGCAGCCCACACAGACCTTCCAATAGATGTCACTCCACCAACGATCGAAGAAGTCAAGATGGCCATCAGACAAATCAAAAGTGGGAAGGCGGCAGGACCTGACAATATACCAGCAGAAGCACTGAAGTCAGACATTGAAATAACTGCAAATATGCTTCACCTTCTATTCAAGAATATTTGGGAAGAGGAACAAGTGCCAACGGACTGAAAAGAAGGATATCTCATCAAGATACCAAAGAAAGGAGATCTGAGCAAATGTGAAAACTACAGAGGCATCAGATTGTTATCAGTACCAGGAAAAGTTTTCAACAGAGTGCTGCTGAATCGGATGAAAGACGCAGTAGACGCCGAACTTAGAGATCATCAGGCTGGATTCCGTAAGGATCGGTCGTGCACAGACCAGATTGCGACACTACGGATCATCGTTGAACAATCAGTTGAGTGGAACTCATCACTATACGTCAACTTCATTGACTATGAGAAGGCATGGACAGCGTGGACAGGAGAACATTATGGAAACTTCTTCGACACTATGGAGTTCCTGAAAAGATTGTCAACATTACCCAAAACTCATACGATGGCCTACAGTGCAAAGTGGTGCATGGAGGACAGCTGACTGATGCATTTCCAGTAAGGACCGGAGTCAGACAAGGCTGTCTACTTTCCCCATTCCTCTTCCTTCTAGTGATTGACTGGATTATGAAGAATTCGACATCTGAAGGGAAATACGGAATACAATAGACAGCTCAGAATCAATTAGATGATTTGGACTTCGCAGATGACCTAGCCCTCCTATCTCATACACACGAACAAATGCAGATGAAGACCGCAAATGTAGCAGCAGCCTCTGCATCGATAGGCCTCCACATTCACAAAGGAAAAAGCAAGATTCTCAAATGCAACACGGAGAACACCAACCAAACCAATCACACTTGATTGAGAAACCCTGGAAGTGGTGGAAACATTCAGGTACCTGGGGACCATCATTGATAAACAAGGAGGATCGGATGCAGATGTAAAGGCGAGGATTGGCAAAGCAAGGGCAGCATTTCTACAATTGAAGAACATATGGAACTCAAAACAACTCTCAACTAATTTGAAGGTCAGAATCTTTAATACGAACGTCAAGACAGTCCTACTGTATGGAGCTGAAACGTGGAGAACTACTACGGCCATCATCAGGAAGGTACAAGTATTTATAAACAATTGTCTACGCAAAATACTCAACATTCACTGGCCGGATACTATCAGCAACAGCGTTTTATGGGAGAGGACAAACCAGCTTCCAGCTGAAGAGGAAATTAGGAAAAGACGTTGAAAGTGGATCGGACATACATTAAGGAAATCACCAATGTGCATCACGACTCAATCCCTAACTTGGAATCCGGAAGGGAAGCAGAAAAGAGGAAGGCCAAAGAACACACTACGCAGGGAAATAGAAGCCGATATGAAAAGGCTGAATAGTAACTGGAAAGGAAGGCTCAGGACAGAGTTGGATGGAGATTGCTGGTGAGCGGCCTATGCTCCTCGACGAGGGGTAACAGGCGTAAGTAAGTAAGTAAGTAAGTAAGTAAGTAAGTAAGTAAGTAAGTAAGTAAGTAAGTAAGTAAGTAAGTAAGTAAGTAAGTAAGATATTCCTAATGAATGTGACAAATATGTTCTTGATGAGTCGAATTCTAGTCATATTTCTGATGTTATTGTGTCAGATGTTGGATACTCACACGAACAATGTATGTTGAATAAAATCCCTAGTTAGGGGTGTAATGAATCAAAAGGGATAGCAAAATTTACCGAAATAATCGGAAAACCAGTTTGCCCAGAAGTGAAGTTTGCACGGACAGAGAATCCAAATGAAGTTCAAGATTATCCTAATGAATATAAGGCAGATGAATGCTTTCTATTCGATTGTTTCGCAGGTAAATCAAGCCTAGTTGAATCACATGTGTTAATTACATATATCAATGCATATCTATCTATGTATTCTAATATGAATAACAAAAAGAATATGTATCATGATTTTTATTCAAGTCAAAGTCACATGATGGAATACCTCAAATTATATATCAGTGTTTATCCCCGATTACTCACATACAGTAGTCGATGCGTGAGATTTGAGATAATGCAAATTGGGAACGTCATATTGGCTGAAACATTGCGACGTAAGGACCCAACATTATTTCGTGGAGGAGGATATTGTTGGAAAGTCTGTGGTGCAAATTCTAAATATCAGTGGTTTCACTAGACAACCGACATGTTGATTGTATACAATTCCAGAAACCAGGTGAGTCTGTTCCGATTTCGGTTGTTAATTCTAATATTTACGAGTGCATTCTAGATAATACAGAGTTTACATGTAATGCACTGTCGGACAGATGTAAGATGAACTTAAGAAGAAGACGAACAATCGATTACAGACACTCACACTCCAATTTCAGCTGTGGAGGATGTGATGTTTAAATGAATCAATGACTTCTTTGTATTGATGCCTGTTGTGATTTTGAATTCCAAATACAATACATTCGTTCGTGCTCATCTAATACTTCTTGATTAAATTGCGTTATTCGTGGGATTACTAGTTTATACTACAATTCAAATACTTGTGATTATCATAAGCTGGTTGTAAAATCAGAATACAGTCGTATCTTCAGTGGTGAGACCGACGTTATCTGGTACATCAAGAGCATTAACTGTGAGTCTGTTCCTTTTTGGAATTTCATTATTCTTTTTTTCTTCATTTGATTTATATATATTGTGATATACCTTTTTTCGGATATATTTTAATTATAAACTTCTCGTTCTAATAATACTATGACGGAAATCACCTAAGATATTAAGTTAAAATCTATTCCCCCAGCTTCGATTCAGTTGACACCATTTTGGCCTGACAATATCGAGTCCTGGTTCTGCTACACAGAAGCTAAATCACCCCGCAGTTTGTTCAATGAATATCGGGCATATCATCGGTCCCTGTAAATGTCGAGGACAACAAACGCGCCTGAGTTTGTAGATGGCGTCGAGTCTCAGTTGACTATGATCACCACTACAGTAAGATTACGCGCCCGAAAACGACTTGGTCCCTTCGACAGGTCGTAAACCAGAAGGCTGTAGTTGGTCCAGATAAGGTATATTTACTGGCGACTTCGTGGTATTGAGACGTGCCAAATAGTACAGGCAAAAAGGGCAGAGCGTAAGAAAGTTCGAACATACAAGATGGACAACGGAACGAAAAGTGATTCTGATATAGTTAAACAAAACGAGTACTGTAAAACACTCACTGGTACAATTGGTTATAATAATAATTGTTTCCATTATACCAATCGTTTTCTCGTCGAGGAAAGCTGGCCACTACAAGTTAGTCATACGCCATGGACTGACCCATGTGGTGGTGGTCTCACTAACATCTCTGTATTCATTCTTACTAATATATTTACCAATAGTAGCTTAATACGTCGATGGAGCAATCCACGTTAGATGCTGACCGTGAGGTGTGACTTCGAAGTTAGGCGATTTGTCAAATCGTTCCCGTTTAACTCGAGTAGGCCTCCAGTCATTAGACATAGATCCTCAATATTGATGATCTGCCTCGTCTTCATCTGTATTTGTTCATGTGTAATAATAATAATAATTTATTCTCAAATAACAGATTGATACATGAGGCATGCCGGTTTACAGGCAAGATCAAATTGTTACAGAAGTTACAATTTTCACTGTTGAAAATTATTCAGCTGGGTTGATTTTTCATAAGATATGAATGTAAATGGATTTCGTAAGGAACATGTCAATATCACACTTGGCGCACTTTATGGAGGTAGCGTTGCAACATACAACTGATGGTCGAGAATAGATACATGCGAAGTTGAGGGCTTTTAGAAGTTTCGAACTTATATCCCTCCGGAATATCTGAGGCTTTAATAACGGTGTAGGACGAAGTCACCCGTGCCATATCTGTTTTCGGTGGACTATCTGCAGGAGGCTGAAAAAGGTGTAAGAAAAAGGAAGGACGAAAAGCAGAGCACACAATATTCATGGAGGAATAGTTAAGGTATAACCATTTAGTCTATTTGTCTGTTACTGAAGTACTCATTAGGTAAGAGCACACTAATGTGTTAAAGAAAAATAAGTGTGGGCAAGGTATGAGTGGATAAGGAACTGTATAAATGAAGGTAGTTCAGAAGGAAGTATGGAATTGTGTAATTATAAAATAAAGTGCTGAAAACAGTATTCCGATACAAATGTCTGTCTCCCTTTTTTCGAAGCTATTTGAACTCTCTTTTTTGTTTTTAGATTTTATAGGGTATAGAGTGGGCTTCGTTTTTAGCCAATTGTCTAGTTTGCTCGTAATAGGATTACTCGGTAGGAAGTGGAATCAATTCAGCATTATTTTAACGTGATTTAAAGTGGTATTTTGCATAAATAATTTCGCATCAATACCGATTGGTTCGTGACATCCCACTAGACATAAAGAGCCGTAATTAATATGTTCTGCCCCACAGACACGGGTGGACTGAAGTTATCTCCCCACCATCATGTTTGCTGGTCAGATCTAACTGACCGACAACGGTTAGACCAACTGCTTAACAATATCGACCTGCAGCATGGTTCAGCGACGGACATGTTGCTATGGATGAGAGAAGTCATAGGTCAATGAACGTTCGACGATGGCCTATTCAAAGAACTTTTCTTATCCAAACTCCTGCAACAGGTGCAGGCACTGCTCGTCTCGTTCCAAAACAACGCCGTAGAAGAACTAGCCGCATCTGTCGATCGAATTCTAGAAATTACGAGATCGACTAGCGCCGAGGTCTTTTCAGTCAAAGAAAAGCCTCAAACGACCTCGAATGACATTAACGAATTATGTCATACACTCATCCGATACCTTAGATTTCGTAATAATCGTAGTCGGTCAAGAAACGCGTGAAGAAGTGTTCCACGTAGGCGATCTGTCTTAAGACCACGAGAGGCAGATAATCCCGACTGATGTTGATAACAGAACCAGTACGGTAAATCTTCTAGAAATTGCATGAAGCCCTGCAATTACTCGATATCTAAGGCGAACGACACAAATAAGACTTCGGGAAACTTTCAAGCCGGTACGCGTTAACGGCAACCGTAGTCGGCGAACATAGCCGCCTCTTATACATCACGGATGTGACAACGAAAGTTTCCTACCTCGTCGACACCGGCGCAGAAGTTTGCGTCCTTCCCGCGAACTCTAGCAACAGACTTCACGAGTTAGTTCTAAGTTTACAGGTGGCAAACGGAAAGCACATTTCTACGTATGGTAAAAGGTACGTTTACCTTAACGTGGGTTTACGCAAACCCATTCAATGGGTCTTCGTTGTTGCAGATGTCTCTATGCCAATCATTGGTATAGTCCTGTTACAGTACCACAATCCACTCATCGACACACGCAAACGAAGCTTAACAGACGGTAACACTAAGTTATTGCTTGCGTAACTCCTTTCTCTGGTTGCAGATTATCTCCAGTAACAATTAAGCACACCATAGACCTCTTATATCAACCATTACTCGATAAATACCCCTGGATATATCAACCGCAACCGAAATTGCCTTATGTAACCAGCAATGTTACACATCACATCTCGACTTCAGGACCACCTGTAGTCTCAAAATCACGCCGACCGGCTCCCAAAAAGCTGAGGTTGGCTAAAAACGAATTCGACCACATGAAAGAATTGGGAATCATTCGACCGTCAAACAGCCCATGGTCATCACATTTGCACATGGTCCCTAAAAAGTACAGCAATGATTGGCGTCCAACTGGTGATTATCGGTGTCTGAATGCTAAAACCATTCCCGATCGTTACCCGTTGCCTCACATTCACGATTTGACAGCTACCTTGAAAGGTACAACTGTCTTTTCGAAAATCGACTTGGTTAAGGCTTGTAACCAAATACCGATGGCAACCGACGACGTTCCTGAAAGCGCCATTATAACTCCCTTCGGCCTAAGAAATGCGGCTCAAACCTTCCAAAGGTTTACAGACGACGTCTTCCAAGGTCTCAACTTTGTACATGTGTATGTTGATGACTGCCTCATAGCAAGTCAGGACAGAGAATCACATCTTCTCCATCTGGACACTGTTTTCGATCGACTCCAAAGGCATGGCATTACTGTAAACATTCAGAAGTGCCAAATCGGAACAAACTCTTTAGACTTCTTAGGACACACCATTGACGCTCAAGGCATCCGACCCCTTAGAAGCAAAGTGGCGGCCATTCTGTATTACTCAGAGCCGACCACAGTTAAGCAATTGCGAACTTTTAACGGCCTCGTAAGTTTCTACAGACGGTTCATACCCAAATGCGCATCCCTTATGAAACCGTTAACCGACCAACTTCGTGGAAATGCAAAATCAATTAATCTAGGAGACACCGCGCGAAAAGCATTCTCCACAGTCAAGGAACATGTCGCTAAGGTACCCTGCTTGCTCATCGAGACACTTAAGCGCCCATTATTATCGCCGATTCAGCGATCGGAGGAGTCTTACAACAATGTGTTAACCACTCTTGGCAACCTTTAGGACTTTTCTCGAGATGGTTGCTAGACGCTGAATCTAGGTACGGCACGTTCGGTAGGGAACTCCTAGCTATGTATTGTGCTATACGAAATTTCCAACATTCCATCGAAGGAAGAGAACTCACGCTTTTTACCGATCATAATCCCCTTACTTTATCTTTAAGTTCATCTTCATACAAGTACTCACCCCGCGAGTCTCGACAACTGGACCACATTTCGCAGTTCACTTCAGATATACGATACATTTCTGGAGTAAACAATGTTGTCGCAAACGCTTTGTCTCGAATGAGTTCCTTGAACAGTTTCCAGGGGATCGACCTTCTTAAACTCGCTCAGCTTCAAAAAGAAGACATCGATCTTCAGCATGAGTTATCCTCGACAACTCTAAAACTACGTATTAAGCAGATGGGAACAGGTAAGGAAACCTTACTTTGCGACACATCTACGTGTAGGGATCGTTCAATCGTACCAAAACATAATCGACGTAGCGTCTTCAATACGTGGCACAATCTTTTTTATCCAGGTGTTCGTGCATCCATCAAGCTTATAGCCGGACGGTTTTGCTGGCCTGGTGTGAATGAAAACGTGAGGGATTGGGCACGCTCCTGTGTAAGCTGTCAGAAATCTAAGGTAAATAGACACAACAAATGTCCCTTAGGCTTTTTCAGAACCCCTGACGCTCATTTCGACCACCTTCATCTGCATTTGGACCCTTACCCGATTCAAACGGATACTCATATCTCTCAACATGCCTAGATCGTTTCACTCGATGGCCATAAGCAGTACCTATTAAGGATATTACTGCTGAAACTGTGGCTCGCGCTTTCGTCAAACGGTGGGTAGCAAATTTCGGCTGCCCTTCAACCATCACATTAGACCGCGGACGCCAGTTCGAATCTGAACTTTTCCGTTGTCTGACCACACTACTAGGAATCACGCATTTCCGAACGACCACCTACCACCCACAAGCAAACGGTTTGGTAGGACGTTTTCATCGAAAACTAAAAGCTCCACTACCAGCTACAAACGTTTCACAGTGGACAGACGCTCTTCCACTCGTCTTGCTAGGTATCCGCAATGCAGTGATAGCTGACATTGGATACACTGCATCTCAACTCGCTTATGGAAGGACACTCCAGGAGAATTAGTGGATCCTTCGTCTTCTTTAATGAACATGGATCTAGACTCCTACACGAGAAGGCTTACAAACGCAATGCGTTCAGTTAAACCTGCTCACACTCGACCTCAATCAACTGATGTTTCTGTTCAACCTGAATTACGACATGGTACACATGTCTTCGTTCGTCGAGACTCACATCGACGACCCCTCGAATCAGCATACGAAGGACCCTTCAAAGTTCTTCAACGCGAACCTAAGTAATATGTAGTCGATAAGAACGGCACGGACGGTAGCATCAGTATCGATTGTCTAAAAGCAGCGTACTGAGAAGGAAACCATAGCTGTCTCGATTTTCCTTCGGTACAATCGAACGGCACGGCTCCTACACTTGTAGTACCCCCACACGACAGCCAACACACACGTTAATACCTCGTGAACGTCGGAAAATAGACCTAAAACAACGCGTTCTGGAAAAGAGTAAGATTTCCAGAACATTTAAACTACTATTGCACGTAGGACAAAAACTCAATCTCGAATTCCCTTTGCATTATTTATTATGAAAAAAGTTTAATTTGCTCATTTTTATATATTTATACCAAAAAACAAAATAACAACTTTTTTACTTATGTGCGTTACTGGTTAATAGTTGTCAAACTATGATACTGGTGGTATCTTCATTAGAAAAAGTTTAGTAAATTCTTATCTTGTGGCAAACTTCATTCTCGTAATTCATGTGCATTTCGTAATGTTAAATGTTTTAAATGTGGCAAGATAGGACACATTCAGTCAGTATGCAAAACTACTGTTCACTTTGCTTCAAGTATTATTAAATCTCATAACTTAGATCCCGATGGTTTGGCTGTTCCTAATGATCATTTATCGTTATTCACCACTTCGTAAGGTAATGTTCCTATTCAAAAGCGATTAAATACAACCCTTGGTTCATTTCATGACTTTATTGTGGACACAGGTGGTATAGAGTCCATTACTTCACTCAAGAACTTGAAATCTTTAGATCCTAATGTTGTGGTAAGACCCACTGAGGTCTCAATACTGGGGATTACTGAACACAGGCTGCCTATAAGAGGATGTTGTGAATTGCTATTCATATTTACCTTGTGAATTTTTAGTTAGTGAAACAGGACTGTCCATACTGGGTTTAAAAAATCTGAAAAGGCTTAAAGTGAAATTGTCTTTACTAGTTTCTACAGAGATTTCTCATGCTTTACTCAAAGATTTGATAGCTGTGTGTGCTAAATTTAGTGGAGGTATGAAAATTCAGCCTATAAAACTTCAAGTACAGGGTGATCCAGTCTTTCTTGAAAGACGAATAATTCCTTATGATTTTCGAGAAGCAGTGCACAAGTCACTGAACGATTTGTGTGCGAAAGGTATAATTGAACCGGTTAAGTCCTCAGCATGGGGTACTTCTATTGTTACGTTATTGAAGTCGGATGGCAATATTCCTAAAATATGTGGTGATTACAGATTAATACTGAACTCCTGTTTGTTGAAGCAAACAGGTACGACGATGGAGGCTGAAGATATTCTAAATCGACTTCATGGTTTTAAAGTGTTCTCGAAAGTCGACTTGAAAGATGCTTATATTCAAATCCGTTTAGATCAATCTTCATCTCTCTTGACAACAATTAACACTCTTTTTGGTTTGTTCAAACACAACTTCCTTCCATTTAATCTTAGTTTTTCTCCATTCATATTTCAGGAAGTTATGAATAAGGTAGTCAGAGATATTGAAGGTGTAGAAGTTTATCAAGATGATCTCATTGTTCATGGTGCTGATAAAGTAGTTCATGACCAAAGACTTATTGCCTTATTGCGTCGTTTAATTGAGAAGAATATTATAGTGAATTCGAATAAGTGTTCATTTTGTGTATCTAGTTTTGAATGCCTTGGATACCTAGTTGATGGTAATGGTTTTAGACCAGATATGAAACGACCAACCCCACTGAAAAATGCACCGTCTTCAAAAAAATCACAGAATTACGTCTGTGGTGTGGTCTATTTATATCCATATAAGTAGTATATGGTGTGGGTCAGACATAGAATGTATTTTGGCAGAAGACCGATGAGGAAAGAATGGAAATGAAGCGCAATCGTATGGAATATGCATGAGCAATGGAATTAGAGAAGAAACAGTGAAGATTGAAACAATTGGTTGTTAATTTGCAAATTGACTGTTCATTGTTTGGTTATCAGAATTTACCGAGATAGTCTGTAATATTTGCTTAAATACATTCGATTGTCTCCAACTAGTGTTCTGTTCACTGCACCTCCACTAGTGGGTGCTCTTCAGTACTATTCTCGTTTTATTCCTAATTTTTCCTATCGTGCCAACTATTTATTTAATATTTTGACATCCAATTCATTCAAATGGGGTGAAGAACAAGAGTCATGACTATGAAGTATGCTAAAGTTTCTTCAAAGTGATGCTGTTCTTTGAACTTACTCACCCAGTGTACATTCTGTACTTATTACTGATGCATCACCTGTGGGTATTGGTGCAGTTTTGGAACAGGAAGGCAGGGCAGTTATCTGTATTTCACGCAGACTTACTGTTACTGAACAAGGTTATTCACAATCTCAGCGAGAAGCGTTAGCTTTTTTTGGGCAGTTTAAATACTTCATAAATATTTATTTGGAAAGAAGTTTACCATTGTTACTGATCATGAAGCTTTAAAGTTCATTTATCATCTCGAAAAATCCTTAGCGCGTTCCTCAGCTGCTATGGTTCAACGATGGAGTATTGCTTTAAGTGTCTATGACTAAACGGTTGAGCACAGAAGTGCAAAACAAATTAAACACGTTGACTACATTTCTCGACAATCATTACAAGATAGACGTGTTAATACTTCAGACTGCTTGTTAGTGCAACCTTTACCGGTGAAACGTCCAGATCTCATTAGAAAAACTCGTAGGTACTCAGTGCTATACGAAAATGTTGGAATTCTAATCAGAAACTTGGATTTCCTGTCTATTATTCAAAGCGGGATGAGTTATGTACTACTCCTGGTGGTATTTTGAGTCTAAATGATGGTGTTGTTATTCCTCCTTCATTACGCAAATCTGTCTTTGAAGATCTTCATAGGGGAAATTTAGGTGTTCAGAAAATGAAGTCCTTGGCAAGACTCACATGTTGGTGGCCAGAAATAAATGTAGATATTTGTCGTCAGGCAAACAATCGTCAGAAATGTTGTAAGCTAAAAAGTCAGTCTTTGAAGTGGACTTCATGGCCAGTATCGTCTGAGGCCCGGCAGAGAATTCATACAGACTATTGTGGTCTATTTCTTGGTAAGTACTATGCACTTGTAGTTATTGACTCTTTTTCTAAGTGACCTGAAGTTTTTTCACAACTTCACCGAATTCTGACTTCCCAATCCAAGGGGTTCCCTTGGTGTTAGTGATTGATAATGGATCTCATTTCGCTGACTATGTAGTCACTAATTGGTTGAATGGTGTAGGGTGCGGAGATCTGTTTACAGCTCCCAGGCACCCTTATTCTAATGGCCAGGTAGAAAATCTTGTCAGGAGTTTCATGCAGTCAGGAGGTTGAAAACTGCTATTGATTTTGTTGCTGCTTCAACATTCAGTGAACTGGAGAGGGGAGTAAATAAATTTCTACTTCAATATAGAAATGCTAAGCATTCTGTGACGAAAGCGACTCCATTAAAGCTATTAAAAGGAAAAATTCTCCGTTCGAATATGAGGTGTTTGGAGTCTGCAGAAGTTACATATTATTGTGCGAATGATCTTTTACCAGCCGAGGGGATCATGGTGAAGAATAATGGAAAATCTGTGGTACGAATTCTGGATATCAATGACTTGACTATACATAAGCGACACATTGATCAAATACAATGCCAGAAACCAGGTGAGTCTGTTCCGATTTCGGTTGTTAATTCTAATATTTACGAGTGCATTCTAGATAATACAGAGTTTACATGTAATGCACTGTCGGACAGATGTAAGATGAACTTAAGAAGAAGACGAACAATCGATTACAGACACTCACACTCCAATTTCAGCTGTGGAGGATGTGATGTTTAAATGAATCAATGACTTCTTTGTATTGATGCCTGTTGTGATTTTGAATTCCAAATACAATACATTCGTTCGTGCTCATCTAATACTTCTTGATTAAATTGCGTTATTCGTGGGATTACTAGTTTATACTACAATTCAAATACTTCTGATTATCGTTGTTACCCCTTAGGTTAGTATTGAGATCGAGCTTAGGTAGATGTTTAAGTGGATGACCGAAAGTGCTAAAGATGCTGTAAATCATAATAAGATCACCTCTAAGACGCCTGTATTCTAACAGGTAGAGGTTAAGTGATTGGAGGCGCTCTTCATAAGGTTTGAATTTGAGTCCCTGACCTGATTTCGTGGCTCGATGTTGGATACGTTCCAGAGTGTCCTTATCCTTTTGGAGAGAGTGAGGAAATAACTATATTTCCGTGCTTTAAATGGGGACGAATAAAACTGTTGAAGATTGTGTTGAAAGTTCTTTCTTCGAACTGGCCAAAAATTCGCTTCAATGTTACCAGTGCAAGGTTTGCTTGAAAGGTGTTCTTGTCACAGTTAGCATACGACTTCAAGTCGTAGGGTACCAACACACTTAAATCTTTTTTAACTTCGGATACTTCTGGAGAGGAGTTTCCTTAGTTGTAACTATAGTCTGCAACATATCTCAGATGAACTGCTTTACTCTTTGAAGTGTTAAGTGTAAGTCCGTTGTTATCTCCACAACTTTAAAGTCGAATCAGATCCTCCTGAAGTGCCAGTACATCCTCTTGGTTTCATACTTCTCCAGAGTTTCGAATCATCAGCAAAAAGCACTAAGTCAGAAGATACTTGCTGTGGAAAATCGTTTATGTAAATCAAGAAGAGAAGAGGTCCTAGTATTGAGTCTTGGAAGACATTGCTAGGAGATTCCATAGTCTTAGAGAAAGTGAAGTTAACCCTGACCTTAAAATGTTGTGGCTGTAAATAAATCCCTAAAATCAATAGCTCTGTTCGACATTGGATGCTGACCACATTAGTTTTAATGGACTCAACTAGCTGAAGGCGCTCGGTCATGCATTCGCACCAAATCACGGTTTGGAACGGCGTACTCAACTGCTCCTGCGACCACTAGTCAGATTAGATTAGTCACTTCCCCATATATTGATAATCTATGAAATATATCTTCCAAATTAGACTTTGCAGATAACCTGGTTCTTCTGTCCCATTCTATTACAAGAAAACTAGACAATTGGCTAAAAACGAAGCCCACTCTATACCCTATAAAATCTAAAAACAAAAAAGAGAGTTCAAATAGCTTCGAAAAAAGGGAGACAGACATTTGTATCGGAATACTGTTTTCAGCACTTTATTTTATAATTACACAATTCCATACTTCCTTCTGAACTACCTTCATTTATACAGTTCCTTATCCACTCATACCTTGCCCACACTTATTTTTCTTTAACACATTAGTGTGCTCTTACCTAATGAGTACTTCAGTAACAGACAAATAGACTAAATGGTTATACCTTAACTATTCCTCCATGAATATTGTGTGCTCTGCTTTTCGTCCTTCCTTTTTCTTACACCTTTTTCAGCCTCCTGCAGATAGTCCACCGAAAACAGATATGGCACGGGTGACTTCGTCCTACACCGTTATTAAAGCCTCAGATATTCCGGAGGGATATAAGTTCGAAACTTCTAAAAGCCCTCAACTTCGCATGTATCTATTCTCGACCATCAGTTGTATGTTGCAACGCTACCTCCATAAAGTGCGCCAAGTGTGATATTGACATGTTCCTTACGAAATCCATTTACATTCATATCTTATGAAAAATCAACCCAGCTGAATAATTTTCAACAGTGAAAATTGTAACTTCTGTAACAATTTGATCTTGCCTGTAAACCGGCATGCCTCATGTATCAATCTGTTATTTGAGAATAAATTATTATTATTATTACACATGAACAAATACAGATGAAGACGAGGCAGATCATCAATATTGAGGATCTATGTCTAATGACTGGAGGCCTACTCGAGTTAAACGGGAACGATTTGACAAATCGCCTAACTTCGAAGTCACACCTCACGGTCAGCATCTAACGTGGATTGCTCCATCGACGTATTAAGCTACTATTGGTAAATATATTAGTAAGAATGAATACAGAGATGTTAGTGAGACCACCACCACATGGGTCAGTCCATGGCGTATGACTAACTTGTAGTGGCCAGCTTTCCTCGACGAGAAAACGATTGGTATAATGGAAACAATTATTATTATAACCAATTGTACCAGTGAGTGTTTTACAGTACTCGTTTTGTTTAACTATATCAGAATCACTTTTCGTTCCGTTGTCCATCTTGTATGTTCGAACTTTCTTACGCTCTGCCCTTTTTGCCTGTACTATTTGGCACGTCTCAATACCACGAAGTCGCCAGTAAATATACCTTATCTGGACCAACTACAGCCTTCTGGTTTACGACCTGTCGAAGGGACCAAGTCGTTTTCGGGCGCGTAATCTTACTGTAGTGGTGATCATAGTCAACTGAGACTCGACGCCATCTACAAACTCAGGCGCGTTTGTTGTCCTCGACATTTACAGGGACCGATGATATGCCCGATATTCATTGAACAAACTGCGGGGTGATTTAGCTACAGCTCAGTGACATTTCACTGCCCCTTCAACAGCTAGTGTAGCAGAGACCGCTGCATCAGTAGGCCTCAACATACATAAGGGAATGAAGCAAAATCCTCAAACACAACACAGAGAACACAAACACAATCACACTTGATGGGGAAGCTCTGTGTAGCGTTAAATAAATCTCAAAAATCAATAGCTCTATAGATTTTCGACATTGGTTGCTGACCACATTAGTTTTAGTGGATTCACTTGAATGAAGGAGCTCGGTCATGCGTCCGAATCAGATCACGAGTGGGAACGCCATGCTCAGCATCTCGCGCAATCACTAGCCAGTCTAGATCAGTTGATTCTCGATATATTGATAGCCTATCATACATATAT